GAACCCGAGACCCCAGGATTACAAGGCCAGCGTTCTAACCGCTAGACCACGTGATCGGAGTGGAGACGTTCTATGGTTAATGAACAATTTAGAAGACTAACTGGAATGCACTCATAAGACTGACATGTTTTGCACAATATTTAGATTTTGAGGTATTTTGACAGGTGTTGTATGCGGTGCAGTGATGACGCATTCGTTAATTACTTTTCTGAGCCAGACAGCTAGGCTATAGACTCATTAGGTCGCTCACTTCATGCCTTTCAGCTACTTAACTTTTCTTACAGTCTTGTAGACTTCTCCTTCGGTTCGTCTCTCAGCCGTCAGACTGACATGTTGACAAATTAACTCATACAAATAGCGTCTCTCCGCGGAAAGAGGTCCTGAGGGAGAGAGAATGTATTCTATGGTATAGAAGGAGGAAGACTATAGCGCGTGAGTTTCCTTCTGGCGAATTTTGAATACGTTGTAGATATTAATTGTTCGTGTTTTCTAGTGCTGAGCTATAACTTCTCGCTTCTGAATATTCCGTTAGACTGTTCTCTAAACCAGTGATATTCAACCTTTTTTTGTTCGCGTACCCCCAGATGTAATTTCTCTTCAACTTTGTACCCCCAAAGTTGTTGGTGTATAATTCAAGTTATACATAGTATATAATCTACATCTAAAATGAATTAAATAAATTACATTACTGATTATTCGGTGTTTATCATAAAATAATTTCTTTTTTAAATTTCACGTACCCCCTAAGATGTCTTCGCGTATCCCCAGATATAATTTCTCTTCAACTCTGTACCCCCAAAGTTGTTGGTGTATAATTCAAGTTATACATAGTATATACTCTACATCTAAAATAAATTAAATAAATTACATTACTGATTATTCATTGTTTATCATAAAATAATATATATTTGTTTTTAAATTTCACGTACCCCCTAAGATGTCTTCGCGTACCCTCGGGGGTATGCTTACCCCACGTTGAATACCACTGCTCTAAACACTACAGCTTAATCATGGTTTAATCATGGTCTCTGATGTGTGGCATTATTCCTGCCGTTTCCTGACGCTTAAAATTTACAGTGCGCCTATATATAAATATATGAAATAAAATAACTCATTTCTGCTTAAAATCATAATATCGAAAGCGATGATAGTCTCGTTCTCGCTGTAACCTTTCCTTCCAGTTACAAAGGAGATTCGTTAAGATAAGGTGTGTATGTAATTAGGTAGTGCAAAAGTATGACCCCATATCTGGAGGTCGTCTCGTTTAACCACAACCTTAGGGCGCGCCATGTTGTGACAAGGGCCCATCCCAACACCTGAATCTGTCATAAAGCGCTTACTTCGAACCTCCTGACCATAACTGGATGACAGTACAGCATAAAGACCAAGATGAAATGGTGTAAGTCACACTTATGATTCCAGTACGCTTCTCGACACTTCAGATGTGAACGGACGTTGTGAACTGACTGTAAAAGATGGAGTTTGTTTTAGAGAAGTAATCTTCTCAGCAATGTCGCGCTGCTTTGCGGGAAACATCGATCTGTTGTAACGGTAGCAGTGGCTAGCTTATATCTAACCTAACCCCGGGGTTCTGGCTCGTATCGGGTCAGCTCCCAACAGACTTCAAGCTGGGTCACCGTCAGGTATTACTACTGTCCGTCTATCTCTCTCCCCCTGTCTCTCTCCTTCCCCTCCGGCCTCTTGCCACCAGATCACGCAGGACACCAGCACACAGACCACAAGGAACCACGTCCTTCAATGCATGATCAGTCCTAGGATTCCAGGTTAAGCATAAACGCCTTTTCACTCTCATTTGGGCTTGCAAACATTGTGATAAAAAGCAGATATCTGCCATAACACATGATTTTCTCAACGTTTGTGATAATGGTTATTTCGTTGTGATAAACATTGTACACTGTCTGAGGAAAATTTGATATGCACGACGTTTCGGGAGTTTTGTGTATAACAAATATGCCCTCAGACAACGGGCTATGTCGAACATTGCGCTCCTACAAAACTACTACATTGCTTAAAATAATTGAGTCTATAAAATATGTAACTTAATGTATGTGAATAATTACGTAAATTTCTATAGCGTTCTATGAAACATTTCCAAGTTATATCAAAGTTTCGGGTCATTGGTAGTTTTGTAATTTTAAAGACAAGAATGTCTTTGAAGCTTTCTCCAACACTTTGTTATTCTTGTTTCTTGTACTTCCAGACAATCTCCCTCATCACATTGTTCTCTCAAGTTCTTCCACTAACGACTTCGGACTTCTTATAATTAATTTCATTATTTCACTTTGTTCTTCCGCCATAACTAAACCCAGACCGGTCGCATTCTGGATGGGGTTGATTAACTTCACTCCTGACGTCGACAATCAGGGTCTTGGTTCGAAGATTAATTAAAATTTTATCGTTGTCAAAACTGGATTTATTCAATAAATATATACTTGTTTTTTTTCCAAGAAAATATTTTCTTTATTTTTAAATTAACTGATAACGGCTAGGTGACATGTCTCTTAATAATAGTAATAGTAATTCAATTCATTTATTTAAGTGCTTAACAACAACCAAATAAGGCCAATAACATCCAAGCACTGACAACAGTACAGGATAAAATATAATAATAATAAAAGTAAAACATTACAAACACAAACAAATGAAATAAATATATAAATGTATCATATTAATATTAATTAATTCAATCAATTTATTGTATAATAATTCACAAGTAAATGAGCTAAATAATATTCTTAAGTAATACAATAATTAAATTAAAATCAGTTCAATTATAAACAATACATAGATAACATACAAAATAAAATATTAATACTAAATAAAAACAGTAAACAATAAAGCCAGAAAAAACTTACAAAATGATAATATTATGTAATAATAAATGATTTAATTGTAATTCAATTCAATTCAGTTACTTTTATTAGAGTGCTGAATCAATAGCCAAACGGCCAATTACAGACGCAGAACAAGAATAAAGTAAATACAATAATTATATAATAATAATAACAACAAAATGTATTTCGGAAATAGCTGCTGCACTATGTACCTTAGGGACAAGGTCTGTCTCGGGTACATAGAAGTAAATGCTGTATAAAGTGGTGAATAGATGGAATAATAATAATAATAATAATAACAATAAAAACAATTTGTTTCATCTCTTACTCAAACCAACTACACGCGAACTCCCGACTTCATTGTAACAGGTGCGATGTAGTGTCAGATTCGGAATTTGGACAAACGGGACCACGGCTTAGATATCGAGGTAAGGACGGACTCTTCTGCAGAGTTTTCTTGTTTGAATGGAGTTAGACGTGCAGTCAATAGATACTACAGGAGTCGTCGGCTAACCTAGTTTGATGTAAAGTTGTGGTTAACGAAGACACACATCTGCAACATCGCTCAGAGCTGAAAGGACAGTTAGCACATACATTGAAGTCCCCGCTATAAACCACACACACATTATCTAACTAACTAACTAACAAGATGGCTTAGGGAAACCGAAGGTTCATCACCGAATTAACCAAAGCCCTCCACCGGACCCTGTCCTGGGCCAACAAAATCCAGTCTCCTTCAACTCCTATCTCCCATAGATCCCGCCTGATATTATCCTCCCATCTACGTCTAGGTCTCGACAGCGGTCTCTTCCCCTCAGGCTTCCCAAATAGTGGACCCAACCAACTAGATGGCTTACTGAACCTGAAGGTTCATCACCGAATTAACCAAAGCCCTCCACCGGACCCTGTCCTGGGCCAACAAAATCCAGTCTCCTTCAACTCCTATCTCCCATAGATCCCGCCTGAGATTATCCTCCCATCTACGTCTAGGTCTCCCCAGCGGTCTCTTCCCCTCAGGCCTCCCAACCAATACCCAGTGCACACCTCTTGCCCAAATCACACTCACACATAACGTAAACCTGTAGCTCAAATAGTTTTGAAAATATATTTTAAAAATGCAAGGGAGAATAATTTGCAATAATATTTTGAATTGTTTATCTTTGCCAACTTAAAATTAGAGTTTGCACTTATATTGTTTAACAATATCTTCAGCAAACTGTCTATTTTTTTAAAAATTAAAAACGAAACATCGATATTTGAGACCTGCAGATGATTCCCCTTGAAGAACAAAGCTGTGCGACCGTCTAGCTAAGTGTTCTAGATCCGGTCTTTTTGGTTGACAACAAATATCCCTACCAAAGTATTACAGTTAAAAAGGCTGTGTGCTACACGAGCTGTTTTCCACGCACTGACAAAGCCACTGTTTCGCTTCTTACAATCGATCATCTTCGTCCTTTCTATGTCAGCAAGAGTAGATTTTTCCTCAAAGAACAACCTAACCTTTCTTTGGTACTTAACCCCACGAAACCCAAGAAGAGAGAAGAGAAAGTGGGGGGCACTTGGTTTGAGGCTACGAAGGTTCCCAGGCAGTGCCCGCTCGTCCTTTATGTTATGAATAGGTTTAGTAAGAGCAAGGGATTTAGGAGACAGAATGGGGTAAGAATAGGAGAGGGGGGAAGTTGATCAGGGTCTTTGCGTTAATTTTGAATTTAGATATTGGCCTTGGAAGGACCGCGTTTTGAAAAAAAAATTTACGTTGATATAAGGGGGGGAGGGACTACTATAGAGCGGAATTTTGATGTTAACACTGGGAGGACTGCATGAGAGGCATGCAGAGCAACGTGGAATTTGGGAACCAACTCAGCATTTGCTCTAGTACCGAGGAAAACCACGGAAAACCTTGGTCGAGTTGGCCGGTCGCAGGACCTTCCGAATGCGTGCTGACCTCTAGCCAGCAGTCAGGCATCAGAAGCCGAAGCTTGTCTAAATAATATCTAAGAATTCAAATGAAGAATTATTGAGTGTTGAAGGAGGTGGTCCGTATAGTTACCACTGGGCTTCAGAGAAATCAGCCGAGCAATATGAGAGCCGTGAGCCCACAGTTATATATACTATCGATATGAATGCATGTTTCTGTTCTTACAGATTGAAACAACTTGGAATCTGTGGTGCAACCTGTCAACCCGTTGTAATGGCAACCGTGGCTTCACAGCGGTCAACAGAGCTGGTAAGTAAATTGAACAAACCTAACATTAGTGGCATTTGGTTGCTTTTGAAGTCATGTTTTGTGATATGTGATACAGTATTGCTGTTGTGTTCATGAAATCTTTTAAGTGTCTCCAGTTGATAATTAGTCTCGCGTTACTCTACTAATGAATATTGCGCTAATTACAAAATATATCTGGGATACTAGGATACTGGGGCAACCCGTTCTTCAAGTGCCTGAGCACTGCGGGTCCCAACGTTTTGTTGGCTTTGATCTATAGACATTCGGTAGGACTCCTTGGACGAGGGATCGACCCGTCGCAAGGCCTCTAACTGTATACAGGACAGCACAACACAGAAAAACGCGGACAAACATCCATGGCTTGAGTGGGATTCGAACCCACGGTCCAAGCGACCGCGCGGCCACTGTGACCCACAAAATATATCAAGGTACAAATTAGCTAATAAGTGAATAACTCTATAGGTAGTGATGTCAATATTTCTCTTAAGAAAACTCCATTCTTTATAAAAGATATACAAATATTGAAGCTTGAACATTAATGTTTTGTGTTCAATATATATTAATTAGAATATTATATACAATTGGTGTAATTCATATAAGACAACTGAACCTGAGGTTTTCTCTTCGCTACTAAGCTCGGAACAAATCAGCGGTTTACCAAAACCTCCTTCTAATCGGGGCTAAACAGTTCCGGACATATAATTAATCTTAATCACTCGTCTCAAAATATAATGTCGTAGTTGAATCTGCGTGGAATTGTACAATGACATTCATGTATCGTACCATGGCGGGGTGATGATAATATTTGTCTTAATGTTACTCATCATATCATTATCATCATTGCTGTCGTTTTAATCAAAGAAATTCCATGAATATTTTTACTTAGTTAAGGGTCAGAATTGAAATAAAAAAATAAATAAAAACATAACCTATGTATTTATCGCGCGCCATGACTATTTTCACGAGATGATAATGATACTAAATAAAATAAAAATTTGGCAACAAGAAAATAACCCATTATTTTGTTGTATCGCCACAATTAGTACAGTGTTGGGGATTTTTCTTGGTCATACTGTCCTCCTCACCCTTTCAAGAATGCAAATACCGCAAATACCCTCGAGGGAAAGGGTATTTCCTGCTCAGACAAGTTATAATATCAATAAATCGGCGTGAAATTAAAGAGTCATCTGTTCACTTGTTGGTAGAATTGCTGGGTCGTACGAGGTGCGATCGGAAAGTTTCTAGACTGCGCCGATAAAAACCCGTACACTTATCTCAGGTATTAAATTCATCCATCACCCTCGAAGTAGTTCCCCTGGGAGTGAACACAACGATACCAGCGCCGCTGCCAAGCCTGGAAGCATCCCTGGAAATCTTTCTTTGTCAGCCTGTCAAGCACCATCTGCGATTCTGCCTGAATCTCTTCTATCGTCTCAAATCTCCTTACCTTTAGCTGAATTTTCATCTTTGGGAAGAGGAAGAAGGCACACGGCGAATAAGGAGGGTGCGGCCATTTTTAAAACGTGAATGCCACACAAAAGTTTGTGCACGACCCATTGCGGACTCCCCAAATGCTTGCTTTAGCATTTCATAGGTTTCCGTAGCCATTTTGGCGAGCCTTTGGCAAAATTTGATGCACACGCCATTCCGAAATCGC